CCTTTCTCGGCCCAGCAATAATGTTAACCATACACCTAAATAGTCTATGCGCCAGATCTCTTGCCAATATATGTTTAAAATATATGTTATATGCGCCAGATCTCTTGCCAATATATGTTAATTACAAAATATAACTCAGTACTCACTTCAGTTTTTCTCGTCGACGAAAACGTGAAGTCACGGACGGACTGACGGACACGGCGAGCACAAAAGTGCGTTTTTTCCATAAATGAGAAAATGCGCTAACAATCCAGGAGTGAGTTGTAATGCAAGTAAACACCTACAGACACGTAGAATTACTCAAAAAATTAATCTAAGTTCTCTGGTCGACTGTATATACTTGGGGGAAAACCTAAATTGCTTTGGTTTTAACTACTGAAACTTTCAGTACATCTGAATATCAACATTTAATTCGAAGATGAACATTCGAATCTAAAATACAAGTGTTGCATCCATACACAAACGTACAGTGTATATATTAATCGAGTTTATACGCATCCAAGTGTTCATTGCACGAGAAAGAGGATGATGAGGCGAATAATTCACCATTGTCACTATTAGTATTGAGAGGCGTTTTAATACTGCGAATAATTATAGCCCATACACTGGGCCGGATGCAGCAGGGCTGAGCGCTTGATCGCTCAGCTCTTTTTTGCGGTGTACGATTGTGCTCTTGCGCCGTAATTCTGATGCTCTTGTGCCGTAATTCTGATCTTCTTGCGCCATTATCAACATTCTGGATCTTTAATGTCATTATTCCGTCGCCTTTATGTCATAATTTCAATTATTTTTATCAATATTTTGATGCTTTTGTTCCAAAATTCTGCTGCTCTTGGCAGAGCACTGATGTTCTAGTGTATTAAATCTGTAGATTTTTCTGCTTCACTGAATTCTGCACTCAATTATTGAATCGAAATTATTTATTTTATGTAGATGATCGAGTTATTTTACTTGTCTATAATTAGAACAAAATTATTGCTTATCTAATTAATTAATTCCCATCGTCATCCGTGAAAAAAACATTGATGTCGACTCTTGGTAATTTTATTTATTTATTTCAATATGATCGCATATCATTGTTAATGCTTCGTTGCAAATTTCATCCAAACAACGATATCACAATTGTCAAGTTTAAAATCAATTTATATGTTCCCCGTATTAAACACTGGCGTCACAATATTCCGAAGAGGAATAAAGACACGACGAAGGAATACGGTGCAAATTTCCATTCCCGCCGAAATCGTAATTGAATTTAGCCATTTTTGTGGAGAATAATTTTTGTGTTGGCGCGTCTGGGTTTGTATTAGAAATATTATTAGCGGCTCGATGTGTTGCATGGCAACGAAAGGGAGGCTGGAGTGTGTGTTATTGGGGCTCATTTTTGTTGTGTCTTCGAGCCAACGAGAATAATTGAGTTTCGGAAAGAGGCAGCAGGCAAGCAACGCTGAATTAAGAAGGGTGAAAATCGGTGGTTCTACTCATGATATAATTATATTATGTTTGAAATGAATTTCTGTGGCTAAATTGTGTCTTCCGTAAAACGTGAACTGTGTTTCGTTATTTTATTTAATTCGTTGTTATTATATAATTAATTTGTCATTGGTTCGCTACAAATTTGTATTTCGTTATTTCAGTTTTGAAATATTTTTTCGCCCGTTTCTAATGAAGAAAGTCGCGCTGAATGATTTACCAGCCGAAAAGTAGTGCCGAAATAATCTCATTATATATACGACAGTTTGTTTATATTTCCTGTGTTAGAATGGCTTTTGCTAAGTTTTTTTTTTTCACGCATTTGTGCCTCTATAATTTCTTTTGTATTTCCGGAATATAATTAACTTCCTGAACATTTCCTGCTTTTCTCTTTTCTTTATAGCGCAAAAACTTCGTAGCTTTATGGAAATAATTTACGGCTTTATACTTTAAAGTTATTCTTTCTTTCTGTGTTCTTATGGGCATTGATGTTAACAATGATAACAATGTAATTTGATTGTTTGTTATTTATTGAAAGAAGAATATTCTTTCTCGACTCATTGTTCACGACAAAATCTTTATACTGTCATGACACGGGGAAAAAATTAGTGAATTTTGCCAAAGATTACAAAATGCGATTGTTTTTCTGGCTAATATTTCAAACAAACAGCAGCTACATTGAGTTATGTACGAACAAGACGCTCTATATAGACCATTTCCCGCCAGTTTCTAATCATTTGCAAGCTTTTTTATCTCGATTAATTGACATAAATTTGTTTATGAGAGGTACAGGTAAAAATATTTCCATATTTTATTTATTCGAAAACAATTTTCGAACAAGACTTCTTCATCTTTTCACGTGCATTGGACTAATCTTTCGTTTAACTCATTTTCAATTGATTTCCACGCTTGCTGGTTCGCGCATCAGCCTTGATGCGGTGTAACTTTACTTACGTTAATGACTTCCGTTATATTTCAGTGCACCTAAAAGCGTTCACATGACCTGCCATCTTGATAAGTAAAGATCCATGCTCGTTAAATACCATAATAATCTAGAGAGCTTTTAATCGATTCTTGTAATATAACAAATATTGATCATTGTTGTGTCGACTCATCACGGTCTCCGTAAAAGCTTTCGACGATTATTCCACAGAATTACATGGTGTCTAAATCTAGACTGAATTAGAAATTACTTGAAAGTTATTCCGTTTTGTTCTGCCATTACTTCTACGCTGCTATAGCAATCCATGGCAATAAGCTCTTGAGTAAATGCCGTTCACTATAATTGACAAGCCGTGATTTTTCTTCTCAACCACATTAGCGGAATGGTTTCACCGTCAGCTTGAGTGAGCTTTGGCCAATTATTGACAGAAAATTTTTTTGATTGGTAGAATCTACTCCAATAAATGGCAGTATATTATTTTCAGCCCAATAATTTAAGTAGAAAATATATTTATTACTCCTTTGTAGTAGAGTTTGTCTGTTCACTTGCCTGACTTCAATAATTTTTGGTCGCTGAAACTACAAAATTTATGAATATCCTCCTCAGGTTCAACATTATTGAAGCTATAACACTTGCAGCATTAAAGTTATCAATACTCAGTAAGAAAATGTAATTAAAAGCAGAAGAAATGCAGAGAAAAGTACCGAAAATTCTTGTATATTTTCATTGGATATCAGCAGCACTTTAGCATGAAACGGAACGAGGCTTGTATCGCCTATCACAACTTACCCATCCCAACTATTCCCAATTCCAACTCCCATTCCAACTCTCCCCCATTCCAACTCTCCCCCATTCCAACTCTCCCCATTCCAACCCCCCACAGCCCCCACAGCCCCGCATAATAACATAAGATGAGCTCATCAGCAGTTTTGTGCCGTCAGTATTTCGTTTAATTGTTCAGCCTCTGATGAATCAATGGCCTGGCCCATCCAATCTGCGACGTGAATTTCCCTCATTTGACTTCTTTGCTCTTTGGATTTTCGTTTTATTTTCGGGATTTTTTTTATCGTGTTTCTTTTTGTTTATTTTTTAAAGATTTAGTGTTTTGATTTTAGCTTAAAAAATAATAATAATAATGCTTATTATTATTAATAATAATGCTTATTATTCAATAATAATATAATAATAATAATAATAATAATAATAATAATAATGCTTATATAATATGAATAATACTGCTTATTATTCAGACAACTTGATAAAAGTTATTTATCGTAAGGATTTTTCTATGTTTAAGTTGGTTTCATGTTTTCATGACAATGAGTCCTGAAAATTTGTGTTATCTGCTTGCAGTTTTCCAATGATTTTATCAAATTCAATTATACTTCGTTTAGTCGAAATTTTCCTTTCCATCTCGGTGTCTAAGTTATTAACGTTTTCATTATATTATTCCAATCCCAGCTCACTCGTAATTACTTCTAATTCTCCTACCTTGATTTTCAATCGTTACAATTTCTCGCACATTGCTCTTTATTCTCTCAATTTTCCTTCTCCTTTCTCCCTTTCTACCCAGCCTTCTTCTCGCCAGGCCACACCGCAGTTCAGCGCCCCACACTAAACCTGCCTTCATAATATAAGCCCCAAAATTAACAATAATGCGATTCGAATTAAATCAAATTAAGCTCTTCGATGCCTCGATCACTCGCGTAAAATTCGCCCCTAGCTTCGTTCCGCCGTAGGAATAGCATTGCGAGGGCTCCATTATTCAGCAAGTTTTGGTCTACTGTAGGTATCGCATTGCCAAGTCCGTCGCTTCTTCGCCAAGAACTCAATGATCGCTGAATTGAACAAAGTTGCCCCGACGTTGTTCTATTTTGCTAATGTGCTTTAATTTGCCCTCAATGAGAATAAATTGATCCAAATTTTAATTCCGTGCTCGCTGCACTAATTCGTCTGGTTCTTTTTATTGTTCCTTCGCTAGCTGAACTTCTCGATAACCACCAAAATTATTCGAGATTTTCTACTATCGAGATGGCTATATAAATTAGATAATATTAGGGTATTATTCGATAGTTTATAGATTCCTACTTGAATCAGAGTGAAAATTTTATTTCTTCTCATAGTTGAGTCATGTCATTTTCGTTAAACTCTTTCATACTATAATGGCGATACGATTTCAATAACGGTGTACGTATACTATGATAAATTTCACCATTAGGAGGAGTGAACGAAAATAGTCGTCAACTATTAATTTGATGAATATAATAGTTGAAACCAAAAAATGAATAGTCAACTCTTCATTTGTATATTTTTAGAAGGAGTGATAACAACGATACCTGACAGCTTCCTGTATCATCTGCATACAATAGTGTGGCTTTAGTCACGGAGAATGTATTACAACAATTCTAGGGCTCTTGTGCTACGTACAATTCGGTCTGCTTGAAAATAAAACTATGTTTGCATTATCTTCGCGTTCAATAAGACCAGATCGAATCGAATTTAATTTCCGTACGTAAAGATAATAAATTTTATGTGTACTGTGATTTTCAAAATGTGTTTAATTAATAAAAAAATTTTATCTTTTCAGGCGAAACTGCTGGAGTCGTCGCACCACTGGATGGGAACGTCCATGGCAGGTAAGCTGAATGTGAACAGTTATGTTATTATTTTATTTATTATAAGTTATTATCAGTTATTAATGGTATTTCAATAAATAGATTTTCATGAAATTATTCAATTCTTTTGGCTTTTTCCTGAAAATTATTTTTTGGGTTGAATCGAAGTTATTTACGGTATTTAGATGAATAGATTTTCACAAAATTATTCTATTCGTTTGGCTTTTTCCTAAAAATTATTTTTGGGTTGAATCGAAGTTATTTACTGTATTTCGATAAATATATTTTCATGAAATTATTAAATTCTTTTAGCTTTTTCCTGAAAATTATTTTTTGGTTAAGTCGAAAGTTACATATTCAGTAATATTATTCTTTCAAAATCTCATGTTAATTTTTCTCGATTACATTTTTATTCTATTATTTCGTCGCGATTCAATAATTTTGGTTCGTTGCTTTGTTTTTATTTTCGTCAATATTTATTGATGAAAATTTCATTTAATTCTCTTATTTGATCGTGTCTGATAGTTTACTGCTCATGCTGGACATTTATTACATTTATTTTATGTTCTTTGTCTGCATTTGTATTGAATATTTCACATTTGTTCTCTTATCAGAAAACACTTGTGGTTATTTCTGTGAACACGTTCTGTTCTTTTACTGTACACAAGTGATCGATGTTTGTGCTTGATATCTGAATATTGCAGTGCACAGATCGAATTCTCTATTCAAAGTTTTTATTTAAAATAAAATGTTTATGAATGCATTTAACTCAGACATATTTCGTCTGTTTTAATTTTAATCGTTATTTATGCATATAAAAATCACGAGATTTCCCTTGACGAGCAAATTGTTGATTATAATTATTAAATGATAAAATTGTTTTAATGAAATTTTCTTACAGCCAAAGTCTATTAAAGACAAAAATTTAAATAATATGAAAAATTATTCTTAAAAACATCACAGAAATAACTTGTATTTTTTCTGTCTATTTCATTTCAATTATTTATCATGAATATTTTATCCTACTCATTGTATCCTTCCATCCAACAATTGTTACATCCTTCGTTCGTCCCGAAAATTTGTGTTCGTTTCAAACATGTTTTGATTTCTTAACTATTGTGTTACTTATTTTTTTTGTGTGATTTATGATTTTTTATAGCTTTAGTTCTTACTTGTGTTTTTTTAATTTTGACCATAGTAAATTATTTTGGAAAATATCGAATTATTTGCGTTTGAATTTTTTAACCTCGGTTGCTTAATTTTATTTTGAAAATGTCTCTCTTTCAGCTACATTAAATCTTATTCAATTGGATATAATTATGACTTCGACATTATTTATTTACTTTGTTAATTATATCTATGCATTTACTTGAAGATTTAAATCCAAGTGAAGCCTGCAATTTCACATAAGAACGCTCGTCTTTAGTCGTACGTAATTATTTCTTCAGACTTTGTTATCTTTGCCGTTGCTCACGCGTCCTTATCTTTTTTACGTATTCCAAGTCTCTTCGTTCCCTCTAAGTCTTATCGCACCTTCAGATCCTTCTTGCATTCTGGCCAGCTAAAGTCTTGTGTGTGTAGTGAATTTTATCAGTGTATTAAATCATGTGTACACGCCGCAAATACAGACCAAGCGTGATGCCGCTAAACTAAAAACGCACTCGCGAGTCAAAGTTCGACCGACAATTGCTATGTAGCGCACCACCTCCTGGTCTTATGAGTTACGAGTCTAAACATAGCGCATGTTTTTACGATATTCCGGACTCCCAATGCTTGAGTTTTTGAGTAGGAATATTCTATGTCTTTTGGTTCTGGTTTAAACGTGAACAAATTATTATGTGAGAGTATTCAAAAGGTCAGGTGCTGGTTTCAGACTTTTGAGATTATTTCAGAGAAATAGCTACGCTTTAAGCCCAATTCCACTGTTCGTTCTCATAACCCTTCTAATCAGACCTTAGATAGCGAAAATCAAATTCTCCTTACGTCATTAATGAGGTATCTTCTTTCAATATAAGACGAATGTAAAGCCCAAAATGTTATCAATTAATGAGTCGTTCGTCTCTCACTAACTTTCGTGAATGCAGAACAATCCAGCACACGGAATGTGAAACATTCTTGAAAGAAGAACAAAATAGTAAAAACTAAATCTTGAAGAACAAAACGAGCGCGCAGGTCCAGCCCCAAGTGACGCCGAACTAGCCGAGCTCTCATCGCACGGACGATTAATCAGCGCCAGCGCAGTGCGGATAAAACGCATTAGTTGACTTCATAAGATACAGAACGATTTACAGGCAGGCTATCGCGGACCATTGCTCAGCTCCGGCCGCACTCCGCACTTAGTGGCCATCATCTCTCTGCCCGTCGCTTGCTGTCTATACCTAACCGTCTGTACCATACCCGTCTCTTGCTGTCTATACCTAACCGTCTGTACCAAACCCGTACGTACCTTGCTGTCTATACCCAACCGTCTGTACCACACCCGTCGCTTGCTGTCTATACCCAACCGTCTGTACCATACCCGTCCTTTGCTGTCTATACCTAACCGTCTGTACCATACCCATCGCTTGCTGTCTATACCTAACCGTCTGTACCATACCCGTCTCTTGCTGTCCATAACTAACCGTCTGTACCAAACCCGTCGCTTGCTGTCTATACCTAACCGTCTGTACCATACCCATAGCTTGCTGTCTATACCTAAAACCGTCTGTACCATACCCGTCCATTGCTGTCTATACCCAACCGTCTGTACCATAGCCGTTGCTTGCTTTCTATACCCAACCGTCTGTACCATAGCCGTTGCTTGCTTTCTATACCCAACCGTCTGTACCATAGCCGTTGCTTGCTTTCTATACCTAACCGTCTCAAGTCTCAGTCGTTTACCCTGATGGTGATGCCTACCGCCATCCCTATCACGTCGTATTATTATCCCGCCCATCACTATCACTGGATCCTTGAATGACTTACTCTCACTTGCTCATTGCTTAACCCTTCTCGTCTATACCCCTTCAATAATTCCCCTCTTTATCCTTGCCTTCTCTCCACTTACCTGTTTCCACGTCTTGCCCCACAACCATGTGTTGCGGCAACCCTTAACTCTACTCCTCAGTAAAGTACAACTCTACCGTCCTTCCCGTCTATGCCTGTAATGTTGCTGGTCCTTCTCATGCTTATCCTCGACCTCTCTGTAGTCTACCTAGGCACGCAAAATTATAATTTCAAGTACAATGTCAATAGAGAACACAAGTCGGTTGAGCGTCCATGCTTGTAAACTGCCTGTCGAGTGAACCAAGTATCCATTACGGCAGCTCGATTCGTCCAATACTTAAATTGTCACTTATGGACAAGTCTGTTCGTAGAAACACTAAACTTATACCAGTCTTTACCGATAATTTATCTGGAACAATTCTGAAATAATCGCTCAAATAAATGCAGGTTTCGGGAACATTGTGTGGAGATCACTTTGAGTAATCTATAAGAAGACTTACTCGCATTTCAAAGTTAATGGACTTTCTAAGACATCGATCGTTCAGTGTAATATTTTAAAACATGGCATTCCATTTATTTTCCTGAACGGTCTAACGGTAAATCATTGCTATCGCTAAGACATACGCTAATGTACCGATAATGTACACGAAGCCATGTTGAGCAATGGCTACTACAGACAATACTCAATGCAGGTAATACTATTTTTGGTAATCACTTTCGTATAATGAACTTCATAACCTTCATCGAGAATTGCCTCGAAAGCTTCCAATGTTTAGTAATAAATAATTTAGCATTAGTGCTACAGTGCCGATACGCTCCGTGACTATAACAAAAAAGCGCACGAGTCTGGATTATTTTACTGGTTGTAAACTCTCATCATGTGAGATATGAATGAAGCAGCGCGTGAATATTGAAGTCGCTTTCCAACGAATATATTAAGGAAAGTGAACGTCACAACATTCATCGGAAAAATCTGTTTGTAGCGTTTCGGTCCTTGAGAGGCCTTGAGAGACCATACTCGGTTAAACAGTCGAACTTAAGGATTGCAATTGGTTCAGTAATTAGTAGCATGTGTTTCTAGACTTGACGTCGGTGCCATTTACTTGGGGAAAATCTCAACACTCGTCAAATTAGAACACTTGTGTAGGAGAAAATTCTGGAAATTTCGTATGTGTGAGCCCATTGATCAAGCTACAGCAATCACTCAACACCTTCTGAAACTGATCATATTGAACGTTTGCATATTTTCGCCCACCCCATTGAAAAGACCACTGTGATCACCTGATGAAACTGATGATTGAAGCCTCAAACTTGTAATTAAATCCACCAGCTTTTCAAGCGGCATGTTCTTCTCTTTGTACACTAGATTCTAGTCTCAATATAAGCTGATTGCAAGGACGCCATCAATGTAAGTTTTTGTGCAGTCTTTCCCAGTTAAAATTTTGAGCCGAGACCGGCGCCGGGTTTAGCCGGGCTGGTCGCGCTTTAGCAGGATGGAGCCGTGAAACAATAACCGGCCATCTATCCCTAAAACTGCGCTGCGCCATGGCTGATACAGAGACAAAATTCTAGCAGCTCGGCAGGGCCGAAACTCTGCGCTGTTTTAGCGCTGGTACTTGGGATTGTCCGGCAGGGAGCTGGGCAGAGCAGCTAGCAGGCCGTGTATGGGGGGGGTTTTGAGAGAGGGAGGAGGGGTAGGGGTTGGAAACAGTGACGAGAGAATGAACTTCATCCTCCATGCTCCATCTAGTTCATTCGCATAGCACGATATTTTGGGCCAATTTCCGGTGCCATTTGTGATATTTATTTCACGTAAGTATTTTAATACTTCGAATTACGTAAGAATTTTATATGCTCTTCCAGTTTTAACACTCTAACAGAAACGTTGAAGGTCATTCACGCTTTGCTAAAGCGAGATCTCAATCAGTTTATCACGAGAAAGTTTTCTAACATGGATATACAGAAAACGCGTTAATAACAGTAAATGTTAGAGCAAAGAAAATACCGAGGTCGCCGAAACGTTTTCATTGAAGATT